CAAGGTAACAGAAATGGTCAACATTTTCTAATGTGACACCATTAAGCTGTATCTCTGGCATTGCAGAGGGATTGGCTGGTGACTGCTGGAAGCGCACTTTGGTTTTCCCGATGTTTAATGAGAGGCCGAGCTTCTCGTATGCTTCTGCAAAGGTGTTTAGAGTGGCTTGTAGATCTTTTGAATGTGCACAGACAACGTTGACATCAGCATATTGGAGTTCTAAACTTGGTTTTGGCTGGAACCAGTCAGTTGTTTCGTGGTCTATTCTGTTGCTACTTGGTCGTTGTACAGATTCCTCAGGAGACAGGCAAGGTAGATAAAGTCACAGGTCCGCTGAAGTCACAGGTCCGCAGTTTGGGTGTCCTCCTGGACTCATCACTTACGCTTGAAGTTCAGGCGTCGTCGGTGGCTGGGAGGGCCTTTGCACAATTAAGACTTGTGCGCCAACTGCGACCGTATCTCGTGAAGACAGATCTGGCCAGGGTGGTCCATGTCATAGTCACCTCCAGATTGGATTACTGTAATGCACTCTACGTGGGGCTACCCTTGAAAATGGCCCGTAAATTCCAATTAGTCCAATGGGCGGCGGCCAGGTTGGTAACTGGTGCTCCATACAGGGAGAGGTCAACCCTTCTGTTTAAGGAGCTTCATTGGCTGCCATTTATTTTCCGGTCTCAATTCAAGGTACAGGTGCTTACCTATAAACGGTTTGGGACCCGCCTACCTGCGTGACCGCATCTCTGTGTACGAACCCACACAATCTCTTCGATCATCTGGAGAGACCCTGCTCACGATCCCACCTGCGTCGCAAGCGCAATTGGTGGGGACGAGGGAGAGGGCCTTCTCTGTGGTGGCCCCTCAACTCTGGAACTCTCTCCCGAAGGACATCAGACAAGCCCCAACGTTGGCAGTCTTTAGGAAGAGCTTGAAAACCTGGATGTTCCAGTGTGCCTTCCCAGAATAAGGCCTTAGTCATGACTGAAAGGTGAGGCCTACATAACTGAGGAGACATGAAGAGTTTCGCGCCCTTTTTCGAGGCCCCGCCCCGGAAACCGCTGTTTGTTTTTTTCCCCTCGCGAGCTCTGACGCGGCCCTGTCAATCAGGAAGCTATAGCCCCGCCCACTCAGTAGCCTCGCTCAATGAGGAATCCATAACCCCGCCCACTCCCTCCCGCTTGTCAATCAGGAAGCGCTGGCACCGCCCACTCAGTGCCCTCGCTCAATGAGGAATCCATAACTCCGCCCACTCCTTCCCGCTTGTCAATCAGGAAGCGCTGGCACCGCCCACTCAGTGCCCTCGCTCAATGAGGAATCCATAACTCCGCCCACTCCTTCCCGCTTGTCAATCAGGAAGTTATAGCCCCGCCCACTCAGTAGCCTCCCTGAATAACAAAGCCATAACCCCGCCCCCTTCCCTGTCAATCAGGATGATATAGCCCCGCCCACTCAGTAGCCTCGCTCAATGATGAATCCATAACCCCGCCCCCTTCCCTTCCGCTGCCCTGTCAATCAGGAAGCTATAGCCCCGCCCACTCAGTAGCCTCGCTCAATAACGAAGCCATAACCCCGCCCCCCTCTCTCTTGCTGTCCTGTCAATCACGAAGCGCTGGCCCCGCCCACTCAATAGCCTCTCTCAATGACGAAACTGTAACCCCTCCCCCATCCTTGGCACCAACGGTCGCTCTGCTCTTTGGGGTGTGACCACGCCCCCTCCGAATTCCCAGCCACCCCATTGGCTCTCCGAAAGGCCCTCGCGCTCCTCCCTTAAAGTTTCCCCGTTGCCCGTGGCAACGTTGATGGGTGGGAGGAAGCAAGAGTTTGGGGAGTTGTAGTTGGGAAGGGAGATCAAGGGCGAAGTTGGGAGACGGGAAAAGGTGTGTCTGGAGGAGGGGGAAAGTATTTTTTTGGGGGGTTGGGGGGAAATTATGGGATGGGGGAATGAAGCAGAAGGACAGACTGGAAATGGGGGACGACGGTGGCTTGCAAGGGACAATTCAGAGCCAGTGTGAGAGTTTCAGCTGCGAAAAGTGACTTCTTTGGATGATAATTCCCAGAATCCCCCAGCCAGCAGTGTAGTGGCTTGGTTAGCCAGGGGATTGTGGGCTTTGGAGTCCCAAAAAAGCCACTTTCCCAAGGTTTAGGTCAGGCTTGGGCCAACTTGGGCCCTCCAGGTGTTTTGGACTTCAACCCCCACAATTCCTAACAGCCAGTAGGCTGTTAGGAATTGTGGGAGTTGAAGTCCAAAACACCTGGAGGGCCCAAGTTGGCCCAAGGCTGAGCCAGGCAATTATTAGACTTTACTGATGGAAAAGAATAATTGTAGATTATCTATTATTTATTTATGTATTATTTATTTATTTACTACATTTATATGCCGCCCTTCTCACCCCGAAGGGGACTGAGAGCAGCTTACAAGTTATATGTACATACAATATATTATAATATTAGCATAGCATAATATTAGTCTTATTGTACTGTACCACTATACTGCAATATTATTAGTAATATTACCTGTAATATAAAATATATAATTATTACATTGTATTATTATCAATATTATGTTATATTACATTATAATATTGTCAATACTATATGTATTATATAATTATTATATTGTGTTAATATTAGTATTATACTGTATTACATTATAGCATTGCTATCAATATTATATGTGTATACAATATATTATATGATTAGCCTAGCACAATATTAGTATTATCTATTACTATACTGTACTATACCACTATATTACAATATTATTAGTAATATATCATGTAATATAATTATTATATTGTATTATTATTCATATTATTTTGTATTACATTATAATATTGTCAATATTATATGTGTATACAATATATTATTCGCACAGCACAATATTTGTATTATATATTGCTATACTGTACTATACCACTATACTGCAATATTATAAGTAATATTGCATGTAATATAAAATATATAACTTTTACATTGTATTATTATTAATATTACATTGTATTACATTATAATATTGTCAATATTATATGTGTATACAATATATTATTAGCACAGCACAATATTAGTATTAGATATTACTATACTGTACTATACCACTATACTGCAATATTATAAGTAATATTGCATGTAATATAAAATATATAATTATTATATTGTATTATTATTACTATTATATTTATTACATTATAATATTGTCAATATTATATATGTATACAATATAAGCACAGCACAATATAAGTATTATATATTGCTATACTGTACTATACCACTATACTGAAATATTATTAGTAATATTATGTGTTATTTTAAATGTGCATTGTACCTTGTTTATTGTTTATGTTATTTATGTATGAGATTTATTTTTGTATTGTAGTTGTTATTGCTTGTATTGATGTATTGTGGGCTCAGCCTCATGTAAGCACCGAGTCCCATGGGGAGATGGTAGCGGGGTATAAATAAAGTTATTATTATTATTATTATTATTATTATTATTATTATTATTATTATTATGTTTCCTGGGCATTGAATGTTTGCCTTTCCTGTTTGGAATCCACCCCGAGTCCCTTCGGGGAGATAGAGCGGCATATAAATATTATTATTATTATTATTATTATTATTCATAACATTATTTTCAATATTACATGTGTACATAATATATTATATTATTATCACAGCTCAATATTAGTATTATATATTTCTATACTATAATACTATATTGCAATATTATTAGTAATATTGCATGTAATATAAAATATATAATTTTTATTTTGTATTTTTTATTATTTTGTATTACATTATAGTATTATTATCAATATTATATGTATATACAATATATTATATTATTAGCACAGCACAATATTAGTATTATATATTACTATTTTGTACTATACCACTAGACCAGGGGTCCTCAAACTTTTTAAACAGAGGGCCAGGTCACAGTCCCTCAAACTGTTGGAGGGCCGGATTACAATTTGAAAAAAGAAAAACAAAACATGAATGAATTCCTATGAACACTGCACATATCTTATTTGTAGTGCAAAAAACACTTATAAACAATACAATAATTAAAACGAACAATTTTAAGAAATATAAACATTAGTATTTTAGTAGGAAGTGTGGGTTTCGTTTTGGCTGATGAGATAAGATTGTTGTTGTTGTGTATTTTCAAGTCGTCTTAGGTTGACCCTGAGTGAGGGCTGGATAAATGACCTTGGAGGGCCGTATCTGGTCCTCGGGCTTTAGTTTGAGGACCCCTGCACTAGACTGTAGTATTATTAGTAGTATTACATGTACTAAAAATATATATAATTATTATCTTGTATTATTATTAGATTTTTATTTGTCGTGTCAGGAGCAAGTCACTTCTGGTGTGAGAGAATTGGCCGTCTGCAAGGACGTTGCCCAGGGGACGCCCGGATGATTTGATGTTTTTATCATCCTTGTGGGAGGCTTCTCTCATGTCCCCGCATGAGGAGTTGGAGCTGATAGAGGGAGCTCATCCGCCCCTCCCCGGATTCGAACCTGCGACCTGTCGGTCTTCAATCCTGCCGGCACAGGGGTTTAACCCACTGCGCCACCGGGGGCTCCATTATTAGTATTATATTGTATTACATTATAATACTATCATCAATATTATATGTGTGTGTATGTATATGTGAATCTACCCTACTGAACAATTTCAGCAAGAAAGTAGCTTGAGGAGATGCTAGGGAATGTATTATTTATTATCTCACTATTATATTATTACACTATATGTGTTTTGCTAGAGCAGGCATGGGCAAAGTTGGGCCCTCCTCCAGGTGTTTTGGACTTCAGCTCCCACAATTCCTAACAGCCTACCGGCTGTTAGGAATTGTGGGAGCTGAAGTCCAAAACACCTGGAGGAGGACCCAACTTTGCCCATGCCTGCTGTACATGCTGGAGTTGTGGGGTCTTTGTGCCAAATTTGGTTCTCATTGTGTCAACTTTCCTAATACAAATGGCTTCTTGCAGGATCCAGTGGTGAAAGATGAGCGCTCGGCGGCGCGGTGCATCCGGCGACAAGAAAGGTCGGCGGAGCCGTGGGCCGACCCCACCTGCGCCGAAGCCTGAGACTCCCCTGCCAACCTCCACCCCTGAAGAAGCCACTGGTATTTTCACAGAAGTGTTTTTGTAAATTGAAGCTTGGGGATCCCAGTCCTTCTGCCACTTCTCTGCTGGCTTTGATCCCTTGCCCAGGGAGCCTTTGACGCTTTTGACAAGGCTTTTGGAGTGAGAGGGAGCTCTTTTAGACACTGCGTGGGTAGGCTCCCTTTTTAGGCAGGGCTCTGTGTCCTTTGTGCTCACCAAAGCTGCCCAGATTTGGCTTGATTTTGTGACCTGAGCTACCAAAGGTGACTGAAGGCTAAAGCCGGCCACGTTGCCCATGTCGGCCTGCGTTTTGAATGAATTTGCTATCCATAGAAGGGAGAAGCCTGGGCTTTTTGAGCATCCCTCCCTTCCCCACCACAACAAGTCCCGCTCAGCCCCAAACTGTCGTTTGACATTTCTCACACCTTCAATCAAACCTGCTTTGCTAGGCACAAAGACTAAGGCAGGCTTTTAAAAAGAAAGAAAAGGAAGAAAGAAAGGAAGCCGAGCTCCTTAGAGTGCTGAATTTTATGTCCATTATTAAAGCTTTCATTTTCTGTATGTGTGAGAGGTGCGAGCTTAAAAGCACAGAGCACACACAGGCCTTTTTACAGGAATGGTAGCAAGCAGGTGGGTGGTCGCTGGAGAATTTTGGGAAACTACTGCTGAGACGTGGGTTCTTTGTCCTGAGACCTGTCTCTGTCTTCTCGGCAATTCCTTCCCCGCCTACGGGCACAGGAGGGACTTAGGCTATCTCTGTCAACTTTGTAGAAAGTCCCTTTATCTTGTTCTCGGAGGCTTTCATAGCTGAAATTACTGGATTGCTGTGACTTTTCCAGGCTGTATGGCCATGTTCCAGAAGCATTCTCTCCTGACGTTTTGCCCACATCTATGGCAGGCATCCTCAGAGATTGAGGGGACTGTTGGGAAGTAGGCAAGTGGAGTTTGTATATCTGTAGAATATCCAGGGTGGGAGAAAATGTTGGAGCATGTAAGAAATCAGTTAGCATGTGTGTGTCAACTTTAAAATAAGATTTATTTATTTATCGTGTCAGGAGCAAACCAAACAGTTGTATTGCATTTTTAACAAACAAACAAACAAAACACAAAGTTTGCAAGCTTGGTAGTTGATTAAATGTCCTTTGAGCAGTAGCTGGCCACTTGGAGTGCCTCTGGTGTTACTATAAGAAGGTCCTCCATTGTGCGTGTAGCAGGGCTCAGGTTGCATTGCAGCAGGTGGTCAGTGGTTTGGTCTTCTCCACACTCGCATGTTGTGGATTCCACTTTGTGGCCCCATTTCTTAAGGTTGGCTCTGCATCTCGTGGTGCCAGAGCGCAGTCTGTTCAGCGCCTTCCAAGTCTTCTGTGTGCCCAGGGGGGAGTCTCTCATTTGGTATCAGCCATGGATTGAGGTTCTGAGTTTGAGCCTGCCACTTTTGGACTCTCGCTTGCTGAGGTGTTCCAGCGAGTGTCTCTGTAGATCTTAGAAAATTATTTCTTGATTTAAGTCATTGACGTGCTGGCTGATACCCAAACAGGGGGTGAGCTGGAGATGCATGAATCTGATTGGCCTGGGAGCTAGCTTAGCCTGGAACATTTGGATACTGTTACATTTTTACACCTGGGATGTGCAGGTGCTTGCAGCGAAACAGAGAGAAGCAGAGATTGTGATGATTTTGAGTGTACTCTTGCTTCATGTGCTGCTGAAGGAAGTTTCTCCACATGGACAAAGAAAGACCATTTTAAATCTCTCTAAAAGGACATTATGTCAGTCGATGCAACTGGTCACATGATTGTAAACATGTAATTCCAAATTATGAAGAGTAACCTTGGTCTTTTTTGATAATCTGCATGGCTTTTTTTTCTCTCTGGCAAGACAGTGTGTGGACTGATCAAACGTGAACTACACGTGCATGATTTTCATTTTGTCACAGAAAGAACTCTTGTCTGCTCGAGGCAAGTGTGAATGTTGTAAGTGGCCACCTTGCTTAGCGTTGAATGGCTTTGCAGCTTCAAAGCCTGGCTGATTGTTGCCTGGGGGAATCCTTTGTTGAGAGGTGTTACCTGGCCCTTATTGTTTCATGCCTGGAATTCCCCTGCTTTTTTAGTGTTGCTCTTTATTAACTATCCTGATTTTAGAGTTTTTTTAAGGAACTGTATTAAGGGGTCGCGGCATTGGGAGGGTTGAGAACCACTGCTTTTACAGAAATTGACCTGGATGACCAGAGGCATTTCTATTTCCAACCCTACTCTTGCCAGAATGGATTTTGTGCTTCCAGAAATCTCTCTTTCCTCCCTCCCTCCCTATGTCTGGACCCCTAGTATTTTCTGGGGAGGAAAGTATCACCATCGACAACTTTCAGCCCCAAACGTGTATCTTAACCAGTCCCGTGAGTTTTCCCCGTTGCCTTCCTCCGGCATGTTACCACAGTAACCCTTTGGGATTTCCAGCGGCAGCTTTTCAAAGCTCCGACTCGCTCTCCCATCCTGGCAGTCATTGGTGCCTAATGTAACGTGTACAGAACCCCTCCACTCCAATCCCATCTGCCACAACAGGCGGGAAAATGACATCCCCTGTCAGGCGGCTGCACGCCGTCTGAATTGGGAAGTACAGGCCTGGTGAGCACCCCGCAAGCCAAAGCCACAGGAGGGTTTCATTTCAGCAAAGCGCAGGGGGTTTGATTATGGAACAGGGAGTGTGGGAAGGGAGGGGAGATGAAAGGAGAAATCTGACTGCTAGCACTTGGGTGGAAGCATGGGTAGACCCCCCTGAAGTTTCCTATTTGGGGGAAGGAGGCAGTCTGTTTTCCTGGCCTGCCGTTCTGTCTGTCCATTCCGTTTTGCATGTGTATGTGAGAGAGAGAGAGAGAGAGAAAAGAGAGAAGAGTGTTTTGCATGCTGACTTATTTACTTATATCATAGCTCACTTGTTTTGAGGGCTAAGGAAGGGAGGAAGCCCAGCTGGTGAGCAGTTCAGCACTTTAAATGCTGATTAAAATCTCACATGATCGGAATGGAATAGGACGGGAAGTCTGCACGAAAGATAACTACAACCCAGGAGGTTTTTAAAATGAGGATGCTGTTTGTCCCACTGAAGAAACCAAGCACGACTTCCTTCCAGCAGCTGTAGGGAGCTGGGAAGAGGGGTCAAGAAACTGATGGGGCTCCGTCAGGCCAGTGACAAGGGCTCCTTTATAAATAAATATATAAATAAACTTTATTTATACCCCGCCACCATTTCCCCATTGGGGACTCGGGGTGGCTTACATGAGGCCAAGCCCAAACAACAAATCACAACAAGATTAAAATCAATACACCAGCAAAAAATAGTAAAATACACACATATAAATAGCAATAATTTTTTAAAAAGCAATATACAAATGCAATATCCACAGTCACAATGACAATGAGCGGGCCACATGTACATGATAAAATGTTAAAAACTCAGGGTGAGATAACAGGAGTAGGTTATTTGTTGGTCCCAGGATTTCTGCCTCTGTTGTCCTGACTCGGTGCTTTGTTGTGAGATTTAGAGGCTCCCAAGATGGCTGCTGCGGGACTTCCTCCGGAAACTTTGGCAGTATTTTTTAAAACCCTCAAGATGTGGATATAGAATCATAGCGTTGGAAGAGACCTGATGGGCCATCCAGTCCAACCCCCTGCCAAGAAGCAGGAAAATTGCATTCAAAGCACCCCCGACAGATGGCCATCCAACCTCTGTTTAAAAGCCTCCAAAGAAGGAGCCTCCATTATACTCTGGGGCAGAGAGTTCCACTGCTGAACAGCTCTCACAGTCAGGAAGTTCTTCCCCATATTCAGATGGAATCTCCTTTCTTGTAGTTCCATGTCCTAGTCTCTAGAGACAGAAATGAGGTGAAATCTTCTGAATAGGGGCACAGGCAGCAAAACAGACACTGCAGGGGTGTTAAGTGTAGGTAGGTAGGTAGGTAGAGGCTGGAATTACACTTCAAATGTAACCTGTTCCAACTTACATACATACACAAACGCCACTTTCACCTTTTTGCCCATGTCCTGGCATCATTTCCAATTTTAACTTTATATTTGGCCTTCCCACTGTTTTTAATTGTGTGTTGTTTTATTGTTAATTGTTGCATATTTTATTGTCTATGTTTTTTTTTAAATTTTAATTGCTTGTATTGTTGTTATTATTGCTTGTATTGTTGTATTTGGGCTCGGCCTCTTGTAAGCCGCACCGAGTCCCTTGGGGAGATGGTAGCGGGGTACATATAAAGTGTTATTGTTGTTGTTGTTATTATTATTATTATTATTATTCAACTTAAGAACAAACCTATGGAAGCTATGTTATGTTGTCAAAGGCTATCTTGTTCGTAACTTGGGTACTGCCTGTATTGAGAAGGAGGTCACATAGAAAATGAATACTCAGAAGTGGTGGCCCGTGAACCAGAGCTGGCTGTTGGCCCCAGCAAGTCTCCACAAAAGAATGAAACAGTTGTAGTCAGGGGGCTCAAATATGATACTAGTCCCTGGCACATGGGGGAGATTGCTACCCCCCCCCCCCCCCCCCCCACTATTTGCTAGCTTAAGATGTTCTGAGGTAGAATGTGAAGTTTTCTACTGCTCTGGGGGCTAGAACATGAGCCAGTGATTAATATTGCAAGAAAAGAGTTGCTACATGAACATTAGAAAAACATCCTGACAGTAGGAGCTGTAGAGAGTGGAGTAGAAGGTCTCTGAGGCTGGTGGACTTTCCATCTTAGGAGGCTTTTAACTCGAGGTGGGATGGCTATGAGGAGTGCTTTTCCTGTGATTTCCCACGTGGCAGGGGTTGGAATAGATAGCCTCGAGATCCTTTCCAAACCAATAATTCTAGGGGTTGAAGACTGGATTCTGTGTTAAGTGTCCCCACTCTTTCTTCCCCTAATCCCATCACTGAAGAGTGAGCAGGCTGAAGGCTGCTGTGTCTTTTCCTGCAGGATATTGGGAAGGTCCCAGCTCTTTGCACATATTTGTACCTCAGAAGGTTCTTTGTCTGGTTCCAC